TTCTTTCTTTCTTTCTTTCTTTCTTTCTTTCTTTCTTTCTTTCTTTCCTCTCCTTCCTTTCTTTCATCCTTCCTATCCTTATAATAAGTTCCTTACTTAAGTAATATGTAACTTGCAGAAGTCAGAACTTCCAACATGCAAGCAAAAATGTTCCTCTAAAAGCAGAACCAACTTATAGCTTATAACAGGGCATTATGTTTATACAGTATTTTTTGTTAAACTCTGGAGAAATCAGGTGAAGTTTCATAGCAGTAAAATTCCATATTAATAAAAACCTGTACAGGTTACATCATCTGTTTTTCTAACAAAAAAATGTCCTTAACTCATATGTATCATTTTGTTATATGTTTTAAATGTAAGTACATACAATGACATGTTCAATAAAACTGCACTGTATGCTGCTTGGGGGAACTAGAAATACTAAATATCACGCCTGTCAGTCATTCCAAATAACTACAAATATTGAATTGGATATTTATTACACAACAAGAACATACTGGAACCAAGGAAATTATTAATTCTACTGACATACATTAAAAAACTTACACAGGATTCATTTTTTATTAAACCAATTCTTTTGAACACAGAAATACCATTTTTGACAACAGTGCTGTATTAGGTTGGAAATTTCTCATCTTGGTATCTTTTGCATGCCTTTGCTTATTTCTAAGTATTGTTATTTGTCTTCATATTGGCAAATATAAAACATAAATAAAAGGAATCTTCCTGAAACAGCACCATTTGTGCCTGAAAATGTGCGTTGACATGTTGAACCATCACATACTGGGACTGTTTTTACAAAGATATATATAATCAAGATCATGATTAAATATATCTTATGATTTATTTCCCACTGTAAACATATTGTTTTTAGCTCAAAATATTAGCATAATAAAATAGAAATATTAAAGACAATGAGTGAAGAAATAACACATTTGGGGAAACACAGTTTGTACTTTGTTTGAAAAATGTTTCCACAGTTTGAATGGACATTAAATTAGCAGTATTTTCCTTACTGGTATTATACTTAAGAGCTTGTTAGCATTTCCAATACCACTGTCTATTTTTGGAATTTAATCTGGTTATTGAATTCTACTCCAGGATGAACTTTTACAAACAGTATTTTAGAATCATCTGTGCTTTTAAAAAATGGCTTAGTTTTTAAACAGCAAAGATAGATAAATGTATTTATCACTGAAAACATATTTTATAATTCCTTTATCCTCATTAGGTTTGTATTTTTTGGTAAGAAAAAACAAAATTGTTCTTTCTGCTATAGAATTGCATGCCACAAGCTACTTAATTTACTCTTGACCCATTCTCATTTGAGTATAAATGCCCAAATACAATAAAATTTGATATTATTCCAAGGCATTACAACTTGCAGCATCAAATAAGAAGGAAAGAATTTTTAAAGTTATAACATAATGAATGAAACATTTACTTGGCATTGAACTAGCTAAGCAGAAAAGCTTTGTTTTTTATATATATATTATCTTTCTTTTTCCTGCCCATCTAAAGAACTATGTATTTCATTATGAACAGAAATATGGTTGACTTTAGCATCTGACTTTTAGTTTTTGGAAAAACGTAGAATAAATGATTTTTTTGTTACTTCCTTTACCCCAGGCTTTGGGTATTTTAGCCTGTATTTAAGGGGAATTATTATGCATGGCTATAGATCACTGCCACTCTGCATCTAAGGGCAAACCATACATATAGATAGTCCTAGACTTCCAACCATAAACGAACCTGGAAATTAAGAGGTAAGCAATGACAGCTATCATTAAGCCAGGTCATTGTTTGTTGCGGGCAATTTATTTTTGCCAAATGTCACAATTCATAGCCACATGGCTAGGAGACACTGCAGGATGATTGCTGACTACCCAAAATGCAGCCACATGACCACAGTAAGAACTTTAGTACCAGGGTGGTAAGGTATTTGCTTTATTTATTCAAGAGTAGGTAAACTTTATTTATATTGTTGCATTTTATATATTTGTTAAGAGTTCTATCCTCCCTTTCTTTCAAATGCTCAAGGCAACATTCATAGTATTTCCTCCTCTAATTTTCTTTCACTGCTACCTAATGAACTACCTCAGCCCAAAATTCACCAAATGAGCATCCGTGTCTAAAGATGTTCAGATCTCCCTAGCCCTAACCCAAGACCTTAACCTGTACACTGTACTGGACTTTATTTCATATACTCCAAGAACTCAAGTGGCTTATGTAAAAACCCCTTTTAATATTTCTCTACAACAACAAGCCTATTGACTGGCCCACGTTCATTAAGAAGTAAACAAAAACGGTATCCTTGGAGGCTGTATACCAGATATCTCATTCTTTTTTGGTATTTTGTTATTCGTTATAGAATCAAAAGACCCAAATGACTAGATAATATAGTTACTGATTTAATAAAATTGAAGCATATCTCTATCCGAATTAGAGCTAATTGTTCTTGATTCTCTTTTAATGTATTGCTTTTTCATGAAATTTTATGGTGGGTAATTCTTAGTTATTTTTTTACACAATAATAATTTTAAAGCAATAACGTGCCAAAAAAGTTGTTTTCCAATAGAATGTTTGACTTACCAATTGCGTATTGCTTCTGCTTCCTTTCATTTTCAGTGTTATCTTTTTGCTCTTGGGGTTCCTCATTTTCACTATCGGTTTCCACACCAGTCAAGTTAAGTGCGTTTGAATGCCCTGGAAAAGTTCCCAAATGTTCCCATCACTTCTGTAATCAGGCAAAAACTTTGAACTGTTCCTTTTTTTAAATTCTAAAATATGTCTGAATTGATAGGAAATTCAACTTTCCACATTATTCCAAATCTACTATTATCAAATCTCAAGTCCTCAGCCGATAGTAGTAAACTCGTAAAATTATATGCTTCTCCATTTCCACTATCCCAAAAACTTCTTCAAAATGTAAAAGGAATATAAAAAAAACCCTGAACAATGACTGAACTCTTCTAGCTTTCTAAATGACTTCCCTTCCACCTGCCTTGTGCTTAAATCTTTTGTGGGAGAATTGAAGGCCTGAGAACAATCACTGAAAGAACAGAATTCTGGTCAGTGCTGTTATGGATTTCATCCAGAGTGTCAAATCTAAAGGAGAATATCTCCGTTCTCAGGTTCCTAAAAATGTTCCATAATCATTTAATCTGCTTTTCTCAGCTTATAATAATGATTGAAAAAAACAAATTAAGAGCACAATAGAATTTTACAAAACAAATAAGGTCTTAAAAACAAACCAAGTAGCATTGGTTAAAAGGTATAACTGAAAGTGGAGCAGAAACAACACAACAAAATATATGTACTATAGTTTGCTTTACAAGCCAATAGAGGATAAATCCTGAAGAGTTCTAGAATAAAATTCAGTCATCCATTTTTTAGTTTCACATTTTGCACCTAAAATATAGCAAATATTTCCCTTTGGTTGCGATTATTGCCACCTATTTGGGGACATGTGCATAGCAACACCTGTAAAAATATAATGGGGTAAGAATGAAAATTTGATCTTCCTTCGTGGCAACTTTCTTGCCTTGGTCAGTAAGCCTTTAAGGATTTAAAAATTGTTTAACTAGTTAAAGGTAAAGGTTTCCCTTGTACATACGTGCTAGTCGTTTCCAGCTCTAGGTGCCAGTGCTCATCTCCATTACAAAGCCGAAGAGCCAGTGCTGTCCAAAGACGTCTCCGTGGTCATGTGGCTGGCATGACTAAATGCCAAAGGCTGTTACCTTCCCACCAAACGGAACGCTGTTACCTTCCCACCAAAGTAGTCCCTATTTTACTTGTATTTTTACTTTGCATGCTTTTGAACTGCTAGGTTGGCAGAAGCTGGGACAAGTAATGGGAACTCACTCCATTACACAGTGCTAGGGATTCGAACCGCTGAACTGCCGACTTTTCTGATCAACAAGCTCAGGGTCTTAGCCACTGAGCCACCGCGTCCCCCTGTTTTTTAATTTAATTTAATTAATTGTTGAGCCTTTTGGAACAAACAGGTATTCAAAGGAACCAGGTTAACTGATTCTTATAATTCAACTGGTTGTATTATTTTGCTCACTATCTATGAAAGCTGCAATCTCCCTACATGACATATTTGTTTCAGAAGAGGCCAGGACTAACCTGTTCTGCTGGCTTAACCAGCCTTGCAAATAAGTGGAACAGTAGAAACAGTAGAAATCACTTCAAAATACCAAGGTGCTCATTAAAAACAATCTTGAGCATTTTAGCTTAACTAGAAAAGAATGTAAACGGAGGGAGAAACTTTACCTCTATCCAACTCTGTCTCTGCATAATGTGGTTTCTTTCGAAGCAATGTCAGATGAACAACTGGTCCTGTCTTGCGTAAAGCTTCCACAACTTCTTGGTTGGTATAATTCTGAATATTAATTCTGTTAACCTAAAGTATGCAACACAATTCTTTTGAAAATGATAATCCATAGCACAAAAACAGGTTGAGATCATCACTTTGGCTAATTACTGCACAAAGGCAAAACATGAAGTAAAACAGATTCACACATGTTAACTCATCTATTCAGTCCTTAAGTGAAACCAAGAACTGGCCACTTTCAAGGATAGGGAAGGTGGCAAGCAGATGTGTTTAAAACAAAAATACAAAAAGAGGCAAAATTTTGCAATCTTAGATACCATGTTTTCACCCCAAGGACTGGGTCGGGAGGAGAACAAAGTTTCTCAACTCTCGCACTTTATATAAAGCCATTATTAACTTGCAAACCACCCAGGGTCACCTTATAGGGGAGATGGGTGCCATAAACATTTAATAAATAAAATAGATAATGTAGAGAGAGAAAAACTTTTCTCCTTTTCTCATAAGATGATCCACTGAAACTCAATGTGGGGTGAAGATAGAGACATATGTACTTATCCTTATATACATAGATACATACATACTTATACACATACGTATATATAAGTAATAGTAATAATATATCAAATTTATATGCTTCTCAACTTCCCAGGGACTCTAGGAGGTTTACAGATAGTTTTAAACACTAAAATCAAGAAACAACAAAAAACAAGGTAAAAATGGCAGCAGAACAAAATCAGATGGAAACAAAGGAAAACAAATCAAGTTAAAAGGAGGCTGTCCTTGCCAAAGGCCTGGGAGAACAGCCAGGTCTTCAAGCCCCTTTGAAACACCAACAGGACAGGGAAGGTTCAGATCTTGGCGGAACCTCATCCCAGAGGGCAGGCCTACCGAGAAGACATGCTTCCGGAGTCCTGAGAGATGTCATTGCTTAACTGAAGGAACCTGGAGTACACCAACCCTACCAGATTAGACTGGCCAGGCAGGCACTATGGATGAGTGCTAGTTCCTTACATAACAGGGCCCTGGACCACTGATTAAGCTATGCCACTTGCTGCCAGCAATTATGGTAATAGCAGTGTATTTGGATCATTTTTAAAAGATGGCCAGGCATAATCATGGTGATTCCGACTATCAGTGGCCATTAATAGTGATGAGTGTTTAGCACATCCTGAATTATAGATAGCACGTCTGAAATACGGTTTTTGCAATAGAGGAAGGAAACTGTAGTCCTCTCATTCCAGACTATGTATCCACTGAGAACCCAGAAAGCTGGTTTAGATGAGTTTAGGATTTACAGATTACAGATTAACAGAGTTGGAAGGGACCTTGTAGGTCATCTAGTCCAACCCCCCCACCCAAGCAGGAGACCTTATACCATTTCTGACAGGTGGAGTCCAGTTCTTCTTGAAAGCTTCCAGTGATGAAGCCCTCACAACTTCTGAAGACAAGCTGTTCCACTGATTGATTGTTCTCACTATCAGAAAGTTTCTCCTTATTTCCAGGTTAAATCTCTCCTTGTTCAGTTTCCATCCATTATTCCTTGTCTGGCCTTCAGGTGCTTTGGAAAATAGCTTGACCCCTTCCTCCCTGTGGCAGCCCCTCAAATATTGGAAGACCGCTATCATGTCTCCCCTGGTCCTTCTCTTTACTAGACTAGCCATGCCCAGTTCCTGCAACCGTTCATCATATGTTTTAACCTCCAGTCCCCTAATCATCTTGGTTGCTCTTCTCTGGACTCTTTCTAGAATCTCAACATCTAACACACTGTTCTGTTATCCCAAGTTAAAGCATTTATTCTGATTGATTTTTTCCTCCTCCACCAAAAGAAAATATAGCAAGGAAAACAGGAGAATCCCTTTCTATGAATGCAACTTTCAACTTACCGCAATAATTTTGTCATTGACTTTTATCTGACCATTGTGATCCGCAGCACTGTCAGGTATTACATTCTTTATGAAAATCCCTGAAGGTTCCCCTTAAAGGAGGAGAATGAGATGGAGGGAAGAGAGAGGAAGAAAGTGCAGACAGAATTAGCATGCACTGATTATAATTTCACACACATTCTAGAGCAGATAGAGGCAACTATCGTCCCTTTACAATCTGTGGACTTCAACTCCCAGAATTCTCTTAATGCTTCTCCAAATCAGTTTCATTTTCTCAATCTGCTATACAGTGTTGTAAGATTCTCTACTGGGTTCCATTTCTCTGCTATACTTAGAGCTTTTATATCGTGTGTGTGTGTGTGTGTTTATGGCATAAATCATGTTTATCCTGATTTTTACACGTTTCCCTCTTAACTGTTCCTATTTTTGGAAGATTCCTTGGTAGTGGTGGTGGTTTTTGTTTTGAATGTCTGAAACTTCCATGTTTTTTGATACACATTAGCATTTTCATAGTTGATTTCAGCTTTTTCATAAATATCCATTTTTTAAAATTTAAGCTTCGCTACAATATCTCTTAGCTTTTTTTAATCCCATAAAAGGCAAACATTTGATGGTTGGTAAACATAGGAAAACCAAACTGAAAAGTTATACTACCATTTTGATGGAGACATAGTCATGCTGGCTCCCTCCCTGGACCACGGAAGCATCTTTGGACAACGCTGGCTCCCTTGGCTAAGAAACAGAGAATGAGAACCTCCCCCAAGAATTGGACACGACTGGACAGGGGAAACTTTACCTAATCTTTCTGCATGGCTTAAAAATCTCTGGGGCTAAATAAATACTTAGGAGAGAAAAAGCAAAAAAGCATTTCTCTCCCTCCATTCTCTGACAATATCGTTCTCTATCTTAAACATACGTTCTACAAATTATCTGATTTAGCCTCTTCCTTTAGCAATCAATATTATACAGCTCACCTGAATCAGAAACTCCAGAATATCCAACAATTGTTATACCAAGGCTCTGTCCATCCTTTTTAGTCAACTTAACTTCATGGATTTCATTTTCCTGGGAAACAAAACGATACCATTTTTTTCAGATTATATTAACCATTTAATCTTGTGCCCAGAACTTTTCCATTTGTTACCCAGTTAAAGCCTTTTTTGGTTCAACAATCCAAAGACAACAAGATGTGTGTTGTTTTCACAATGTTCTGGTGTTCAAATATACTGTGTGTGATGACCAAGAGTGTAACACAAACGTAACAAAATCCAAAATGTAAATAAATGTCCTTTAATGCCTCCAACTTGGCCCCACTGTTCAGTAATTCTCAGTTGGAGATAAAACGTAATCAAAAATAGTCTTCAACAGAAAGCAATACAGTCCGAATTTAATGAGCAGATAGAGGTAAAATTAAAAACTACACAAACTACAGTGATGAAATTTCCACAAGGGAACAGGAGAAGTATTTACCAAATTCAAGGAGATAACAAGACACAGTCTGTTGGAAGGATGCCAACCAAGATAACCTCAAACCAAAATAAAACATGTTTTGTCTCTAGCGTTTGCCAGAACGCAGGTCCAAACTCTTATGCAGTGCTCACACCTGCAACCCATGAAGAGGATCAAGGCTCCCTCCTCCCGAATAGATCACGTCTCTCCCTTATCCTCTCCTTCTGTGTGCCTTAGGATGGATAGGGGGTTGGGCCTGGGTCCTTCTCTGATTGCTCAGCCGGCCTCTGCTCTGCGCCAGCCTCCGGAGCCTCCGGAGCCACACTCCCTGTCGGCTGTTCCTCCTCTCCCTCAGAGTCAGTCTCCACCAGGGGCATGACACTGTGTCTTCACACATTACTTTCTGAACATCGGAATATTATTGAATTATTATCACTTTGGACTTTTAAACAGAAAAAAGAAGAATCTATATTTTTTAAAAATGCTAAATTTCAACATTAATTATTGCATTTTTACCAGTGTCTGGATTTACTTTTCTATCTGATTTTATAACTGTTGTGATATCTCCCAAGTGCTAAAACAGATTAAAAATTAAAATATATATAAAAAAGATAAATAGAATGAAAAATTAGATAGCAATTACAATTAGAAGAGCTGTGGTGACACAGTAATTAGAATGTAGTACTGTAGGCTAATTCACTGCTCACTCTAGGAGTTTGATTCTGAGCGGCTCAAGGTTGACTCAGCCTTCCATCTTTCCAAGGTCGGTAAAATGATGACCCAGATTATTGGGGGCAATCTGCTGACTCTGTATACAGCTTAGAGAGTGCTATAAAGCACTGTGCAGCAGTATAAGTGCTATTGCTATTATTATAAACTGATCAAATGAAAATGTTTTAACCATTCCTACCAGCAGAAAATTTGATTTGATTTTTTTTCTTTACATAGTCCTTTAGCAATGTGTACTTCAGGAGAACTTATATACAAATACATAAGCTGACAAAGAGTAAGATGAGAAAATATAGTGTCAAGTCTGTACATCTGAGTTAAAATTGATATTATATACATTACTGATACTATGTGACCTTTTCAGAGAAAGGTGTTCTTTAACTTGAATGGTTCAGCTAAATATGAGGCAGATAGTCAATAAGATATTGAAAGTGAAAGTGTCTAAGGAGTTCAGTTGCCTTTCCAAAAGCCCCTTTGGGATTGAAAGTGAAAGCTGTTGATTTTGGCGATGTAGCAAAACTACAGTAGTATTGTTTGCCCTACAATAGCAAAGTGTATTAAAGTCACTTTGCTGGTCTGTGACCATAATAAAGATTGATTGATTGATTGTTAAACTGAATGGTAATAACAATATTCAGATCAAGTAGGTATAAGGTCAATTTAGGAAGATTTTTGTCAGACTATATGAAATTTCCAGTGAGGTAATCTGATACAAGCATTAAGATACTTACTGTGTCAGATTCTCTGTCCTGAATAGTAGCTAATTCACCCACAGGATCAGCCACAGGAGTTGGTGGGGTTGTAGATATTTCAGACAAAGGAGATCGTGCAACTACCATCTTAACGTGATTTCCGCAGTTTCTCAACACTTGGGCAACCTGCTCACTGCTCATACCTTGTACATTAATACCCCCAATTTCCAAGATATGATCATCAGTTCTAAGTCTGCCGTCCTTCAAGAAACAAGGAACATTTTTCAAAGTTAAAATGAACTGGAATGGAATACTTTTTATAAAGCAAGACTTCACTATAAAATGCCATCACATTAAAGCAATACTACAGTTACTGCCTGTTCAAAGCAAGTTTGACAATCCTATAAGATGCAACATCTTTCAATATCAACTGAAATACATGTAGTCCTCGACTTACAACAGTTCATTTAGTGACCAGTTGAAGTTACAATGGCACTGAAAAATGTGACTTATGACCATTTTTCATGTTTTATGACCACTGCAGCATCCCCAGGGTCACATGATTTATATTCGGATCCTTGACTCACAACTATGGCAGTTGCAACCTTCTGACAAGCAAAGTCAGTGGAGAAACAACATTCACTTCACAACCATGTTACTAATTTAACAACTGCAGTGATTCAGTTAACAAAGGTGACAAGAAAAAAAATGGGGCAAAAGTCACTTAACAAATTTCACACTTGGGGCTCAATTGTGGTCATAAATGGAGGACTACCTGTATATAAAAGCAAGGAAAATTACATTTTCTCATGAAGCAGATTCCCAAAGTCTCACAAGTTAAATCCCAATTGCCACCAACAATTTTAATCAATAGACTATATCCCACAGCCTGTGCAGTAACATATTGGCCCTTTGATTATATCTTCTTGGCACCATCAAGCTCTCATATGCAGTTAAAACTGATACCACCTACTGCAAGTTTGTTTCATTTCCAGATTATACCTTGATCTGTATTGGAAATTGGTGAAAAACTAGGCCAGATGGGAGAAGGAATATGAATCAAAAGATTATAGACCAGTTCAGTATTTTTTATATATTGTACATATCATTCACTTACAGCTTTCACTTTATGTGTCATTCTTCTGCTATACTGTAAGTCTAACCCTTAGAGCATTGCCAAATTGTAATTCTACACATTTTTAATATCCCTCTTTTTACTTAAGAACCAAGGCATATGTAAGAAGTCAATTAGAATGTGGATAGTGGTGACATTTAATTAGTTATCTTTAACCTACTTTTAATCCACATTTATACATTCCATCAATCAGGCTTAAATGATTAAGATTTATTTTCATCATTTTAAACAATCTGGGTCTCTTGCATACTTTGCAAAATACCAGGTGTAACAGAAACAATGATAAATGATCAAAGAGGAGAGGGAGACTTTATTCCCACTCCTTATTCTATAATGCTTCATCTCAGCTGATAACAGCAATGGAGAGATACAGAGATACTGAGAAGTTGGGACAATTTGATTACTACTTTCCTTCGCCACGAAATGGATAGCATTGTTGGGGCTGGTTTGAGATGTTAACATGGTACCAATTAGGGATAAAGAGATGGGCACAACTCATTTCCCTTCCTTCTCCAAGGGTGAGAAATTCTTTTCCACTGCTGCTTCCACAGCTAATAAGACAGAGTAAGGCCAGGTCAACATCAACATCTTTTCCTACTTTAGTATCTGCTAAAAGATTCTTTCCCTCAAAGAAATTACAGACGTACAAATACTATGTACACACACACACACACACACACAGAGGGAGAGGGAGGGAGGGAGGGAGGGAGGGAGGGAGAGAGAGAGAGAGAGAGAGAGAGAGAGAGAGAGAATTATAAACAAATTTACCCTGTCTGCTAGTCCACCAGGTACAATAGTCCGTACTACCACACCACTTGTTTTTCTTCCTACAATTCCAAAGCCTAATCCTGAGCCATCATTAATTAGTTCAACTTCTTCAGTGTGGCCCCAACTGACCTATAAAAATAGAAAAGTAATTTTACAGTGATCCTTTAAAGCATTAAAATGCCAAAAACATTTACCTGTGCATTTCCAGTCTATACAATAAAATAAGTACTCAGTATTTTCCACAGCAACTCAGCTATTGTAAAAGTCTCTTTTCCTTTGGGGTTACAACATCTGGAGTATACATGAGACCCAGTGGTCATGCAATTATAGTAAGGTGGATTGATGGAGAACATGGTAACTATGCAGGAAGAGCCCAGAACATGTTTTATTATATACCATAAACGTCCTCTGAAGCATTTCTAATTAAAACATTAAACTAGTTACACTGAACACAAAAATCATATCTGAAACACCATAAAGGACACAAGAGGGGAGAATATCTTGAAACCATTTTTTAAGTGTCTCTGAAACATGCATTGCTATGCCTGTAGATGGTGCTCACAAATGAGTATGATAACTGCACTTGGACCTAATCAGAACAACACACCGAAATGAAGCAAATAGCATTCATATATGTTTCTTCCTGGAACAGCCCATCATGGTGGCCAAGGGAATTTCACAACAATCCCACAACAAAACAATGCCTGCTGGTGCACTGGACATTTGTGTCTTTTTTGTAGGCTGGGAAAAAAACTAATCATGGATTGTTCTCTATCTGTGTTTCTGCATGAGAAAATAACTTTACACTGAGTTCTGTGCATTTGAGCATCCTAGATCTCAAATCAAGAAAGATTATTTGGTCCAGTGCGATCTACTAGATATGTAACTAAAGATTGGTCAGCTGCTTGATATATTGAATATAGAAAACATTAATTCACTGGGCTGAGTTAAAAGTGAGTGGGGTTAAAAAAAAATCACCCCATAGCATATATTTATTACTGGGGGAGCAGCAAGTAAGATAGGAAAAATTGTGAATAATATAGTGAGAAAACTGCAGGTGATTTTGGAATGGGTTCTAAGCAGGATGAGCTATATAATCTTGACTAAGATACTTTCTCTATTCTGCGTCCATATGTCTACTAACGGCTAGCCAGATTCTTCTGTGAAATATTCTGGCTGGCATAACAAAACCCAGTTATGTCCTTGCTTGTCAACTGTCAAAGGAAAACTCAAACTGACACGATTGATTGAGATGCTGAAATTGAATATAGCGAATGTCACTTTATAGGAAAGTGGGAGGAAGCATTTCTCATTCCTTTTTTCCCCATTTCCTTCTTATCCTGCTCATAAAATCTCAGTGGTGTAGGGAAGGGCCTCCCAACCTCTTGGGCACGAGGGTCCCATTCTGTGGAGATAAATTTTTCCGCGGACCAGAATGGGCAATGTTTTGTGTGTTGCCTGCATTTCATGGATGGGCCTTCGCTTGTTTGTGGGACCCAGTTTCTGGAATGCTGTGGACCGGTGCCGATCCATAGACTGGGGGTGGGGGGCCCTGGTGTAGGGTAGCAAGGCTTATGCTTAACCTAAGGGGAAATCACTCTCTAGGAGTGAGTTTCAGGAAACATTTGTTCAATCTTCTTTGTAAGGTCTTGTGATGCAGACAGGATTATGTTTTACCAGAAAACACTATTCATCGGGGAATTTATCCTTCCTTACACTTTTCCCCATAAAAACCACCCTGTGAATTAGGTTGGGCTAAGAGAGACTAACTAGCCCAAGGTCACCAAGTGAGCTTCTATGACTGCCGATAGACTAGAACCTGGATCTCTTTTTTCCTAGTCCAACACCTGAACATCAACCATCCTGGCTCTACCCCCTGCATTTAAAAAATAATAATAATAATAATAATAATAATAATAATAATAATAATAATAA